ATACTAAGAATGATAAATATAGACATTGTGGACATTTATTTTTTAGAATTATCAATTGACATAGATTTTTTCTATGTGTGTTGCAGCAGCATCATCAACGACAACATCCCAACAACATGAAGGCGACGCTGGCAACAAATCGCTGGCGAAAAATGTGCGCGCGATAAATTTATGTTGGCAACATCAAATCGACGTAAATTACGCGACGCCTGGTTACCAAGCTCCGGCTGATGCCTGTTAGCCGGGCGGCGCTTTGGCTGTTAAATTCTTGGCCAGGCTAAGAGGGGGCTGAACCATCTGCAATCGTGGTCAGAGACTGGGCCAGTTCGGGGCAAAAGACGTAGTGACTCTGGCAACACATTAATTCACGCGTACTTAACACGACCACGCGGGACCTGTTGCTGCTGCTGCTGCAATTGTAGCTGCTGCTGCTGCTGCTGCTGCTGCTGCAGGTTGTCATCCCATCTGTAATACAAACGCATGCCTTGATTGGAGGGGAATAGAAGCGTTGCTGGCGGCAAATTGCTGTTTGTAATTGATTTAAATACGTTGACGCTGAGTGGCAAATAACTCAGGCTAGAGAGTCGAGTTGATTATATGGCCGGGACATTGCTGCTTAATTGCTGCCACAACCCCCCAAGACCAGAACTTTCCCAAATTGCTCTCTCTCGATTCCAAAGTTAAATCGGCTTTATCATTATCCGATGCGATGCGATGCGAGGCGATGCTTGGCTGGCGTGAAAGCAAACAACGGCGGAACAACAGTCGCCAATTATCGTTTTGATTAATGCTCGCTGCCAAAATGGATTTTCATAAGCGCTTTTCACCATTTCTTCCCATCAATTATCATAAATACAAACAAATTTGCAATAAACTGCACAGCACGCAGCGGTGAAGGCAATTTTCCAGCCGGGTTAAAGGCAAACAGCCATTCGGCCCCAGCAGGATCAGCAACATTACTACCAGGACCAGGACCAGGAACAAACACCACTAACAACTTCAATTACAATCACGTCAACATCATTTTCAACGCAACGAGATATATTTCTATTAGCCGAATTAATGTCAGCATAATTAATCACATCCAATAATGTTCAGTGACCGACCAGGCACAACATCAGATTGCTCGGATCCACAGGGTCAACGCAGTTCGTGTTGCACCTTTTTTTTTGTTGTTTTTTTTTGCCCCCGGGGGAAAAGATTCCCGGAACGGGAGATCGGAGTGGAGACCTTCACACTTTTGTTTATTGGCCACAATGCGTAGGTTGTAGCCAGGGGCATTTTATATGGCTTGGAGTGGGACTAAGACTGAGACTTGGGATCTCCTGCTAATGCAATTTGATTGTTGGCCCGGCCAAGACGAATCTGTTACCAAGATAACGCTGGCAGATTCATAATTGCAAAATGGCTGGAGGAGAGATAGATATGTATATGCCTGGGAAATTGCCAGCACTAAGACTTAAGGTGCAAGCCATAATTTGTCTCCAGCTGTCTTTAAGGCATTTCCATGCCAGATTCTGGATCAAAGTATTTTCGCTTAGCTCTTGATTTATTTGGCATAATTTTTTTATTGGCAGTTTCGGCACGTTGATGGCTATCAATTTGCACAAATTAAAATTTAATTGCAAATTTATGGCTTTTAATTTACTTATCGTTTGATTTATGCCCCAACCCCAACCCCCACTTCAAACTCCCAGCTCCCCAGCTTCGAAATAATTTTTATGATTTAAAGCTCAGCCAGCCATTGCAGCGCAGATTTAAGATTTCGTTTATTTTTCACTCCACTTTATTCATTTTTATTTTTGGTTTTTAGTTGGTCCAGTTAACTGCACTTAGAATAGCTAAGAGACAAGCAATTTAACTGAAATTAATTGCAAGCTTTTTACATTTTTTTTGATTTCGTACATTTTGTGTTGATAAAAAAGCCGTCCAACTTGAGCCCGATTATCCGAACCGGAAGTGGCATGTCAACGTGTCACTTAAGCCAAAGGCTGTAAAAATAAAACTAAATCAAAATCAAAGTATTCACGGGCACACATAAAATGTAAATGCAATTTAGCAAAAATTTTACTTGCATTTTTCTAACAATATTCCAATTTATACGAGAGCTCCCCAAACTGAAAATTATTCAAAGGCAAAACGATGAAAAAAAGCCACCGAGGCCGAGGCCTGGGCAATTGTTTTGGGCCAGGCCCAGATCACTGGACCATTGCCACCAGCAGCTACCAAACTTACCTACCAACCGTTGCAGATGGAAAAATGCAACAATAAATCTCATTTTATGCAGAGCGCAGAGCCAACGGCCCTTTTATAGGTAACACTAATGTGGCCCAAAATTGAACTTGACATTTGAATGCCCAATTAACCATGACGTCGAGCGGAGTTCCCGAGTCGGACCGGGGCGTCCTGGACATGTCCGCCAATAACCAATGTCCAATAACCAATGCCAATGCTCAGACCGCTGCCTTTTCAGGTCAAGTTTTTCGGGCATTCCGATGCGTTATGCCGGTGCCCGGTTTATTGGAGCAATTTGGGGACTGGTGAGATCTCCTCCTCCTGCTTCCTGCTAATTAACCTAAATTCCTGCACGGCCGGATATTTTTTTTACTCCCCTCCTGGACAGGCTTTAGCTCTGGCTCTGCTCTATCTCAGCTATTTCAATGGTTGTGGTAAAACTTGGCCTGTCATAAAATGTCGATGGAACTTGGCCTATGGACAGATATGTAAAATACTCTGCTCATATTAAGGGTACATTGGGTTATATATCAGTTAGGTTTAATATTAAGTCTAGTAAATAAGTATGGTAAACCTTGAGACCTCTTAAATATCTTTTAATGAGAAATTTTAAGCCAAAATCTTACACAACTTGAGCTGTAAATATTGAGATTCTTTGCTTTCCAAATCTTCCAATAGAAGCATCATTCTTAAACTTTCTTTCTTCTTATTTATCATAGGGTATTCCCCGGTTTATATACACTTATATCAAACTTATTCTGCTATTCCAATGCAAGTGCAATTCTCACGCGGAGGCTGTTGGCCAGTTCACGCAAAAGTCTGCTTTTTTCGGCCAAGTCTTGGACTGGCCTGGCTGTGGATGATTATAAAATTGCGATAAATATTTATACCGCTCTTAGATTTATGGTGATTCATATCACCAGACGTCCGAGGATGGGGAATCGTCGCTGCCATCGGCTGCCATCGCTATGTAGCATCGGGTTACAGGTAACGTTCATAAACATTTTTATTAGCAATAATTGCACAATTTTCCATGTGGTTCATTTGCGTGTGCGACCCACAAAATAAAGTAAAAAAAAAATCAAAATTAATACTGGGCAAGCCAACTGTCATCAATCATAAAGTGGCGAGAGATTTAGCCTGGGCGATAAGCCATCATCTTGGGCTTCAACTTCCTGGCCTTGGCAGCCCCAAGGGTCACACAAATGACCATAATTGCCAAGTGTCGGCCAAGAGTGGCGAACTAAAAAAAATCAAGAGTCAAATGCCACATTTAAATAATTCGAATTATGTGCAATCAATTCGGTTAAAGGTTTTTTACCCTGGTTTCCCCGGCAAAAATTGTCATGGCCGCAAGCCGAACTCTAAACTTAACTGTATTTATTAATAATTTATATTATTTGTTTATAGAAGGCCGGCCAAAAGCGAAGGCCACTGCGCGGCTGCTCACTTAGTTAATGCTGTGCCATAACTTAATAGTCGATTTGCTTTCAAATCAGAACCCTAAGGACATACCATTAGCTGGCATTGAAAATAATATCTGATTTATTTGGCATTTTCAACATTAAATATATAATTTCTGTATTTACTTTTATTATAACTTTTGCCAATCAATAGTTTTGCTTATATTTTCATTGCTCTAAATATCAAGCCAAATAACTTAGCAAGTTTCTTTCTCAGAAGTAAAGAAACCAAGGATATAAATATACATTTATGAATATTAATGTAGCTGTTACCCTAACACAGTTTTGGTTGCAAAATACTGTTAAACTTAGCCCCTTTTTTTTGGCATTAAATAAATTAAATAAAATTGAATTGCATTTAGTAGTCACTTAACAAGGAAAAAAGTCACAAACATTTTCATGTGTAATTGGGTTTTGCGGCAATTGAAAATGTGTGCAAGTCCCGGTAACGCCCGCTCCTATCTCCTGAGGTGACTGCTAAGTGTTTTGTCTTGTAATTTACAAATGCAAAATAGCCAAATGTGACAAAATGCAGTCGCCTGACAATTTATCGTTATACCTGGCATTGCCTGGAATCGGTTTAAACCCCTCCAAATCCTCTCTCTCTCCGCCGGGAGCCAAAATATAATACAAACTAGTTTACGCATTTTGCGTGTGTGCGATATCGATGTGAATTTATATTTATGGGCCTAGCCGGGCGTGGCCTTGATCTAGAATTTCAGTTGTGGCCGAGCGTTTTTCCGATGTGTTTTCATTTTCAATTTTCATGTTATACGTTATACGGCAATGGGCCACGCGGCGTATGTGTGATGTGATCTCCAATGCGATCTAAAGGCGATCTCGGGCGATCTCAGGTGAGGTAAGGTGATGTTTCGGTGTTCACTTGCGTAATCTCGTATCGGGGTGCTAAGTACCGGTTTAAACGCCGGGCCCGGACAAGTCAACTTGTCTAGTTTGAATTTTTTGTTTTTTGCATTTTATTTGCGTTTTGAACTGAAGCATCGTGCGAAATGCGTGCGATTATTTTACTCAATTTTCCTATGCATTTGTAATTTATTGGGAAATTTAATTGAATTCGCATGCTCGCCAACCGGTCGCATAATTTTTGTCCCCCGATTACACACTCATTGAGCAATCGCACACACGTTTTTGCGCTTTCCACAGCTAATCACACATTTGACACAGTTGGTGGAAAAGATAATTCCCACAAAAAACAGAACATCAGATGTTTTTAAGTAATTCTACTTTGACTATAAATGCAGTGCTTACGGTCTTGGTCAGTCAGTTAGTCAGAGAGTTTAAAGAATATTTCAAAATGCTTTGCCTGCGTCTAGCTTTTTTGATTGTCCTTTTTCTGGTATACGTTTCCAGCTTTGAGGAAATTATGGAATCGCTGCACGATACGTATCAGTTAGAGCAAACGAAAATTCGCAAAGGTTTGATCATAATATATACAAAATTATTTCAACTCATCTGAAGGTAAATCATTTTTCTCCCCCAGAGGTATGCTCCTTGAAGCCAGAGTTTGGAAAATGCAAAGGACGCCGTAGCCTGTGGTATTACAATGAACGCTATGGCAAGTGTATGAAATTTACTTACTCCAATTGTGGTGGCAATAGGAACCGCTTCTACACTCAGGATTCCTGTCAAGACTTTTGCGATAAATACGAATGGCAGACTGAAAAGTTAAAACGCAAAAGTTTTAACAGAAGAAGGCCAAAAATGATTTAAAAGGAGACTGCTTAAGACTTGAAACTTAATATTAAAGGAAACTAACAAAGTTTATAAACCCCTGTAGTTCTCTATTGAATTGTAGGATCGAATCGAAAATCGATTGTAACCCAGCTTAAAATCTTCGCATTCTTTGAATCAATATTTATCGAGGTTTTAATATGATAATTTTTTTCGACAAAAAAATCATAACTAAGCTAAAAAAGCATTAAATTTAATTCGGAAAGTTTTCATATGTTTATTTTTATTAGGTTAAGAAATCTGCATACTCAATATAACATTTTAAAAAATTAAAATTTTGGCCAAATTTTTGTTTGGCAATTTTGACAATTTTATCGAAAATTTTTGAGAAATTTTGAAAAAAAAATTAATTTTTGTCGGACATAGCTAGATCAACTTGGCTGTTAATGCTGATCAAGAATATATATGATTTATAGGGTCGGAAATGACTTCTTCACTGCGATTCAAGCTTCTGAGTAAAATTATAATACCCTCTAAGGGTATAATAAAAATGTGTTTCATTATCTATAAGCTGCTGTTATTTTTGGCATAAAGTTACGTTTTGATTTATAGTTTTAAGTTATTAAAATAGTAAACCAATTTAACTGAAACTATTTGCGAAAACTTTGCAAACTAGTTGACTATTAATATATTTTTTCCCCCATTTAACAAGCTCAAAATGATTTTATTTTCTAGAAAAATAATACGTTGCGGAAAATTATAATTTATATACTAGTAAACAAAACCACATTTTCATTATTTGAAACGTAGACGAAGTATAAATATTCAATCAACTGATTTACTCAACTTCAGTTGGTTTTTCAAGTTTAAAATGAAAGTACTACTAATTTTGAGCCTTGCGCTCGCTTTGGTGTCAGCTAAGCCCTGTATGTTATTTACTTAAAAATGGCAATCAATATTTAACATAATTCTTTTAGATTTTTGTTCTAAGGAACCCGCTTACGGCAATTGCACGGGAAATTACGCGGTATGGGCTTATTCGGCAGCGGAAAACGATTGCACCATCTTCGTCTACTCGGGTTGTGGCGGCAATTACAATCGCTTTCACACCCAGGAACGATGCATAGATGTTTGTATCAATCCCTATTATATAGACTATAATTGATACTATAGAGAAAAAATATGCTTTAAAAAAACTTATAACTAAAAAAGGTAAAGGTCATATTTGAATATTATTTGTTCAGAGGAACGTTAAAATAATGTTTATGAAATAAATGGGAAATACCAATTGAAGGGGTTGTGTTGCAAAAATTGCAAAAAGGGGCATTAAAAAATTAAATATTTGTATTACCATTTTTCGATGTCTAAAATAAGTCTTAGAGAAAATTATTTGATATCAACACGAACACATTTCAATTATTTGATTGGTGAATGCTAAAGGTATAATATTGTTACCACTAACATATTTAATTTAAGTTGGCTTATATATTTATATATTTTACTTTAGTGATAGCAAAACCCAGTGTTATATTTATCTAGTGGAATATAGAACATAAAAAGTATATAGAAAGATGTTCACTTTTTGCATATTCTTCAGTAGTAATTGCCAAGGGACTCTTAAGTAACTGACATGTATATATTTTTTAATTCAAAATGGGATACATGTAAGGTGATATCGTACTAGTTTATATAGCTCATATATTTTTGAAACATTTATGAGTAAATGGTGCTTTAAAAACAGTAAAATATCGCCTCATCTAACTTTATGGATAGAAACACATTTCCATAATTTAAATGAGTGGTATAAATATCCAAAGAACCGACTCTCAATTTCAGTTGGCTTAGAAAAGTTAGAAATGAAACTAGTTCTGATTTGTATTTGCTTTTTGCTCGCTTCGGTGACAGCTCGCAGCCGTATGTAATTAATCAAAACTTGGCGATCGATCTCTGACACAATCCTTGCAGCGCGATGTTTCCATGTAGCTTCCTATGGATATTGCAACGGATATCGCCGGATGTGGGCATACTCACAGTTTGGAAACAAGTGCATTCAATTTGATTACTCGGGTTGTGGTGGCAATGACAATCGGTTCTTTTCTTATTCTGAGTGTGAAAGGGTTTGCATTACATCAAATCACCCGAAAATGATGTCAACGCCAACGCCAACGAAGCGTACTTCGTTCTTCAATTGGTATTTAGATTAGTTAGCCCTGTTTAAATTTATTCAAAGCCATATACCTATTTATATCTAATATCATAATATCAAAAATATTAAAATAAAAAAAATCCAAAAACAGAAAAATTGTGTATATAAAGCAAAAGGATTTTCTCTGGTTAGGGCATGAAATATTTAAACTATTTCTTGTATAGAATTGCGGCCATAAGGCTAACTATGTAATAAGTAAAAAATATTTTAAATTTCTGTGTAAATGGTACGTTAATTCTGCATGTTGTTAGTTTACATGACTTGTGAACTTGTTTTATTGGATTCGCCTTTCAGAACTTTATGAGCAGAAACACATTTTCATTATTTTAGTCAGTGAGCGAGTATAAATATCCACAAAACCAATTCTAAAATTTTAGTTGGCTTTCGAAGTTAAAAAATGAAACTAGTTCTCATTTGTATGAGCTTTGGGCTCGTTTTGGTAACAGCTTGGAATCGTATGTTATTATCCTGAAGTGTGCAATTAATCTCTGACACGATCCTTACAGTGCGCTGTTCCCGAAGGGCTGACTACGGAGATTGCAAAGGACATCAGACAAAATGGACCTACTCGAAGTTTGAAAATAAGTGCATTCGATTTGATTACTCCGGTTGTGGCGGCAATAATAATCGATTCATCTCCAGATTTGAGTGCGAATTGATTTGCTATGCAATAAGATTCACAAATACGAGGCCTCCTCAGAGCTTAGAAGGGTATAGATTTTAAATGATATTTGTGCGAGTTAAATTATTCATTTCAAATACCTAATACAATACAATATAATAATAAAAAAAACCACTGCTGTTGAACAAATTTAATTTACAAACGAAACACATGTTGATTGGGGGAAAAAGGTGGAAAACGATATAAATACCCGGTGAATTGGTTTCCTAAGTTTCAGTTGAAATTACAAGCTGGAAACGTTAAGAGAAATGGACTTTGCTTTCCTTGGCCTTTTGCTGACTCTCCTGTTGGGACATTCATCTACTTTTGTCTACAGAAATCGTAAGGACTTTTAGTACATCGAAAAACTAATATTTAATTTCAATTTGTAGAGGCTTGTTACCAACTTTCGGCTTACGGCACCTGTCATGGACACACACTGATGTGGGCCTATTCGCTGTACGATCATAGATGTCTTTCGTTTCCCTACTCGACATGTGGTGGCAATACAAACCGCTTTCGTACACGGGCAGATTGTGAAAAGGCTTGTATGCTGAGATATTCTTAACTGATTTTCTTTCCTGCACAAGCTAAATTAAATGCCACCGGATTTTTCTAAAGCTTCAGAGGGAAACGCTAGCGTTTTGACTACTTTTTAGAGCAAGCGTTTTGTTGGCGTCTGGCGGTTTTTTTGGTACAACTCATAGCAGGCGCTCAGAGATGGGGAAAGCCCAGAGCAAGCAGTGGAGTAGAGAGCTTTTCTTTAGCTTTTTGTCAACTACCCCCCACACATCCCCACACACGGATATACCCTCCCCGCAGGGGGGCGGAACTTGGGGAATTCGCGATTGTCAAGGGCTGGGCAAATATTCGTTGCTTGCTGGCATTTCGGCCAGGCCAACAGAATTGGTAGCAAAGCTGGCCACTTGAGCTGCAACGAAATGAAAGCTCGCTCTCTTATTTTTTTCTTTTTCGTATTTATTTTCTTTGTATTTATTTTTGTTGTGCGCCGTTAGAGGCATAAATCACCAATGAGGGGCCAAAATGTGCAAGTTTACAGGTTGACTCAACGATGGTACGCAAAAAGCACATTACCAGAATAGCGCAATCGCAATGGCAATGCCAATGTCGAATGGTCGAATGGCGAAATCAAAGAATAAAGTCACGCAATTTCAATTACAAATAAACGCACAGATGGAGAAATGGTTAGGAGGGGGAAGGGGAGTCTGGGGTCCTGATGGTGACTATATGTATGGACGGCGATAGCTATAGTAATAATAATAATAATAATGAAATAGTGATAAGCTGCGCGCCACAAATTGCACGCGAGTGAGACGGCAAGACAATAATTTAAACCGTTAAGCGCAAGGCGAAGCATCAAATGCAGCCGCCCAGAGATGAGCGTGTGTCACGAGACTCTGGCTAGTCACTGCTTTTAAAATATAAATAAAGTTAAATTTAAATATAAAATTGATAGAAATTTAAATATAAAATTGATATAAATTTAAATATATTTAAATATAAATTTAAAATAATTATTTCTGAAGGAAACAGTGAGCTAGAGACTTTTGTTTATTGTGTGATAATTTATTGGAATGCTAGGGGTACAAGAAAATATTTAAATGTAAGTTGATTTTTTAACATTGTCCAATAAATTATCAAATATATAATAAAAAAAAATTATAAATTGATTAAAACAATAATCGAAGCTATATTTGATAAGCCAAAGTTTGCATATCTTTGCAGTTAGCCATGATCCTATGGGTTCGAATCTTCAATCGATCATAACTAAGCCAAAAGTGCATTAAATTCAATTCGGAAAGCTTTCCTATGTTAGTTTTTATTAGGTTAATAAATCTACAAACTCAATTTAAAATTTGTAAAAATTCAAATTTTATCGTTTTTTTTCTTCAAAATTTAACCATTTGAAAATGTTGAAAAAATTAAAAAAAAAATTTTTACTTCAGACATGTCTAGATCGATTTGGCTGTTCATGCTGATCAAGAATATATATGATTTATAGGGTCGGAAATGACTCGTTCACTACGTTTCAAGCTCTTAACTGAAATTATAGAACTTTGATTATATTTTATCATAAAAAGATTGCGATATTTGTATACCAATATCATATACCTCGGCTAAGGATACATCCAATGTCTTCCGTGGCACGCCATAAACACGATTTCATCCAGTTTCATCTCTATGATGTCTTTTGCGAGAAGAAACTCACATTGAAGCCCGCTCAAGACGTCGTCATTCTGGCTGGTTGGATTGTTGTCTTGGCCTATCGGATGTCTGGCAGCATTTGACGCATGCGCTTTTTGTAGCCAACAAACATTAGGCCGAGCTGCGCTTCGGCGTTCGCCAATGCCAATTAATATTCGCATGATCAAATGGTTAACGCATTTAGCCGTATAAAAAACCAACAAGACATCTTGCCGCACCGCACTGCACCGCAAACCGGCTCACATTAAATTCGCATTTACGCGTTTGCCTTTGTGTAACTGATCGTGGCCATCTCTCTTTCTCTGTGTGTGTGTGTGTGTTTTCTGGTCAAGATCCCCGTATCCCGTGATCCCCGGATTTGGCCTGTGGGAAAGTCGGCCTTAATTGACATCCACGCGGCGTTTAAAAGGAGGCCTGACCCCTTCGAAAGAGTTAAACAACTTGTAGCTTCAGTTAATTATGTATTTATTTAGTATCTGTCACTGTTTTGGTTTTTTTTCTCCATCTTTCCACTCCATTGCAATTATAATTTTTCATTCTCCGGATCTAAACACTTAAAAATTTTGAATTTATCAATTTTTTTATATATAATGTTTCTTTTTTGTTTAAATTTCATTAGTTATGGGCTAGACTGTTTGAGTACGACTTTTTGTTGTATACATAGCTTAATAAAATTGATTTATTTACCGTGTGCGTGTCTATGGCATAACAAACTGCTGCCCAGAGAATCGTATTGGATTAAGATGATTTTTTATTTGGTAATTATCTTCGATTTCGATTTTGTATTGAGTAGGTAGGTACTTAATGGAATCCGTTGTACCACAAGCAGGCTAACATTTAAAGCGTTTGCATACATCGATAGAGAAGGATCTTAATTAGGAGTAAAATATACATATATATGTGGTATTAGGTAAACCAAGTCAAAAGAATGGCTTTAACAACAACAAGGCCTGGCCTTAAATTAAATAAAAACATTTTACCATTGAATAAATGCAAATACACAAGTGATTTTTGATAAATGCTTACATAACAACTAAGGGACTAGTTAAAAGTTCTCTTAAAAATTCGTAAAATATTCCCCAAAAGCATATAAATACATATAAAACGCAGCCGACTGATCAGCTCGATGTAATCAATTGATTTTACGATTTTGTAAGCAATAATTTGCTTATAACTTGATGCGTTGTCTGTGTCCTTTGATTTGATTCGATTCGCTTAAATAGATAGATCAATTAAAAATTATATAACAACACGCATACATATCAATATTGGAGTTAGTCGTATGTATATATGTATATAATATGTAGTAAATGTGATTAGCCAATAGGTTATAGATCTGTACGAATGCGGGATATGATTTTAGCATTGCTTTTAATATCAATTTAATCCTTTGCCCTATATGAAACATGCAGCGTTCAACATCAATAAAATTGTATAATAAGCCAATATTTTCTTTTTTAATTTTCTCGCTCCTTTGCCAAACGTGATTTTCCTCTCCCTTGTCTATGAGTTAAAAATTTGCTAAAACATTTTCATTTATTATTGATTTTTCCCGCCCCCACGTAAATGCAATATTTTAATATGTTTTCGAGATTGAGAGGCAATCGCTTGCCCTGCAAAAATGGTCTAATGATAATTCTTCCTCGCAAAATGATCGATATCATAATAAACTCGATTTGAAAGGAAAGCTATTCTGGTTATTTCTGGAAGTATTGAAGCTCTAAAAAAGCCTTCATTTGTTTTTTGGTGCATTTCTCTTAATTGGAAAAATTGTGCCTTTTGTTGATTGTGTGAGTCTTTTTGTTTGTTTCGTTTTGTAGTTGTTTCTTTGGCCATTCTCAAATAGTTAAATAAATACAAAAAACCCATTCCCTTCGTATAAAAGTCAAATGCGCGAGGCCTACAAACTACTAGTTGCCCTAGAAAAAGTCCTTTCGTCTAACTACAACTTGAACATTGCCCCATAGTTGGTGAGGCATAATAGTTTGGCGCACAAACTGCGACTTCGACTGTGACTGCGACCGAGATTGTGACTGAGACTGTGACCTGGCCTGAGTGGCGCCGGCGGTGCTATCGCCGGTGGTGATGGTTTCTCTCCTGGGGCCTGAACCGCGGCCAGGTCCTCGCTCTATTTCCCTCCACAGTACTCGCCCTGCAGCATTCCATTATCCAGGAGCAGGGCCGGTGTATTTGAGATACCATCGCGCAGCGCCAACTGATAGGCCACCTCGAAGGCCTGGCCAAGGGTCAGGATTATCTCGCTGGCCAGGTTCTGTAAGGTAAAATAAAACAAAGGTATTAATCTCATTTATCCTGGCCATATCTTAATCGTAGTACTCACTGTGCTTTGTACCAGGAAAACGTGACAGTAGTGCAGGTCCTGCTCTTTGGTAATGTAGGCAAAGTGCCGCATATCCTCGGAATCCTGGCAGGCACAGTTGATGTTCTGTATCTCATGTTCACAGATAGTGCGCTTTAAGGGAATGAAAATCTATTAGTTTTCATATTATATATTTTATATTATATTCCTGGTAATCTACCTTACTGTTCACATCAATAAACTCCACCCCGCGATGGCAAATGGACAGCGAGAGTGGTGATCCCGATTTTGCCTCACTTTCCGCTGAGGATTTCAGCTTTTGTATGGACTTTTTGGTGGACTCTGTGCCACGTAGTTCTTTCACAACCGTTGAGCCGAGGTACTGTCATGAGGAAAGAAAGAAAATTAAGGAGTTAATTATAAAATATTTTTAAATAATGATCAATCCACACACCTGAACCTCGTAATTGATGTGCTCGTTGAGCAAAGTGTTCGCCGAGTGGCGCCATTCGGTGGTCCTTAGATTGGCCGGAAGGCCTAGCAGCAGCTCCGAGGGAGCTCGTATTTGAAGAGCAGCTGTATTTCTTGCCGGCGGAGCAGGTGGTGGCGGTGCAGGTCTTTAGCAGTAATAATATTAATTAGTTTTCATTTATATTATAATTCGTCAATCTTACCGGCTTTTGCGATAGCCAGTGATAGAGTTGCGATGCTGAACAGGATTTGCTGGATTTCGGGTTGCCACCGCCTCTTTGGTCGTGCCATTGCCATTCGTTGTCAGCTGATTGGTTTCGTTGTTTTCGCCTAGAGGCGTCTTTAGCGACTTGGAGTCACTATCACGCATCTGTCGAATAAAGGCCAGCGACTGCAGGATGCGTCTCCGGTGGCCCAGCTTGTTGATCTCCAGCACAGTCTGCAGCTCCACATCCCACACTCCACACACGCTCTCAATGGTATTGTATAAATGTTTGCTGCACATATAGAAATATAAAATAAATATCAAAGTATTGTTTTTCTTAATTTATAAAACTTACTTGAAGAATTCTAGGTACTCGGGAAGGGCGATGCTGTGGAGCCACTGTT